TAGATTTAGGTTACTTTCTAACATCAAATGTTCAAGTAAAAATTTAATAAAATGAGGAAGCCATCAATGCCCCCAGGCACTTGCCTCCACAGGTGTAATAGGTGTGTACCTGCAAGGCTGGTGGAAAAAGAGAACTATATAAATGCAGTCCTAGTTTTCAAAGCATCAGGAGACCTTTGCTATTTAGAATATCCTTCTAATGACACCATCTGTCAATGTGAATGCTACTGTAACATTGGCTGTGTTGAAAAACACATTAATAGCATAATATAGGTAAAGATATTTTTATAGAAAATTTGGGAGCTTACTACATGAATATATATTAATAAAAAATAAAAAGTAACCAAAAGAAACATTCATGATGGTGCTACACTAAAAATATCACGGTGCAAAATTATCTTTGGGTAGCAAATTAGTTCCTTAAATAATGTAGCTATACTGAGACACTAAGGATATAGAACAGAGCTCTCCACTAACCAGAACTTGTACCTGTCACTTTGATTGCTATTGTGTTAAGATATTTTGAAGAAATGTACTAATGCAATCAATAACTGTTCTCTTGTCTTCCCCTATCCTTTATCTTGAAGAGTGTGGGAAATGGTGAAGAAAATCTGACTCCTACAATTATTTGTATTCAGCCTTCATTTTTCTTTTTCTTTGAACATCCTTCCATAAATTTAAGACTATCCCCAAAGCATAGGAATAAAGCTAAAAATTCCAGTTTGGGGATTAGTGTAGAATGAGAGAACAGGATTTTCTAGATCATCAAGCTAGAGTCCGTGGGTGTCATATACATACAGCAGCAGGGTTTGGGCTGTTCCCTGGGAATATTACAGGTATTTCTGCCTTCTGCTTCTTTGATCTTAGCTATGTCACCTGTGAATAAAGTGACTGCACTTGGGAATTATTCCCACCACACAATAAAGGTTTCTTTCCTCCAAAGCATCCTGGAGTCGATTTAACTTCTGTGCACATTATAGATATATCTATCTATCTATCTATCTAGATATAGTTGCTCCTATATTGAGTCAGCACCCAACTACAAGGACCATGAGACCAGCATCCTGTGCATTGATGACAGGAATAACTATGCATAGTTATGCCCAATAGTTATACATATGGATTCTCCAGCCAGATGACTTGAGCTTCAATCTTAGCTTTGTCTCTTAAAAGCATATGAGCTCTGAATTAACTTAATCTATATAGGCTCCCTTTTCTCATCTGTTAAAAGAAGATAGCAATTAGCACCTATAGCAGCAGCTTATTCTGAGAACAAAAGGAGTTAACATTTGTAGAATGTTTGGGACAATGCCTGATACAATGAAGTAGCATGAACTATTACTACCATTAGAGGTCAAAGACTGTGTTGGGAAAACCATGCACTTGTGCACAAAGCATCCTATCTTTTATAAAGCTATTCCTACAGAAATATATACATACTCTTACTTCTAGGCAAGGTATTTTAGTTGCATTTGGTCTCTTTCAATAAAATTGGCTCATATATTTGTCTTTCATCTGAAAAGTCAAGAATGCAATTTTTTTTGTTTTTTTGAGACAGGGTCTCGCTATGCAATTCAGGCTGGCCTTGAGCTCACTTTGTAGCCCAGGCTGGTCTCAAACTCACAATGATTCTCCTGCCTCAGCCTCCCAAGTGCTGGGATTACAGGCATAGCTCAAGAATGCAATTTTTGAAGGGAAAAACAGATATACATAATTTAGCACAAATAATTAAATAAAGTTTAGAAAGGCAATACACAAAACTATGTAGAAAACTTGGAGCAAGGAGAAAGACTCAAAAGACAGAATTAGAGAGATTTTTTAATATTCATCATCACAAAAATAACTGAGCCTGTGGAAACATGATTTAGAATGTTCTGACCACCCAAAAGCCCCAGTTTAATTTCTTACAATAACCATGAACTCAACAATATGCAGCAACATTGCCGCAGTGGAAGTCAAACGAATTCAAAGTAACTTTTCTCTCTTAGTGTTGGTGAAGCAGTCATATTCACAGGTGTTGAGGGGAAAATCTGAAGAGAGAGTGGGTTTATGCTTGAGCAATCTAAGTAGCTTAATTCTCCAATATCTGTCCACTACTTCTGACTGGACCTACGTGAACGTAGAACCTGTTGCTTTTCCTTAACAGCAGCTTTCCACAAGATATGAGCTACGTATTCACACACTCATAGAAATCCTTGGAAAATGTGTGGTTCAATTTCATAGTACCTTAAAATTAACAGCTAGAATAAACTAAACACATTGTAGAATTTACATGTTTTGTATCTTCTGGAAATAGAGACTAGGACATGAAGTTAATAGACTGTTTTATGTTTTCTCACAAAACAAGGTAACAAATCCCCTTCTATTTTGTCCTGTGTGGGGGCCCAACATCACCTCCAATATCTCTTGGAGCCCCACAGGGACAGCTCAGCCACAAAGGACCCTTTCACCCTGGTACAAGAAAACCCACAACCATTACTTATCCTGATTTCCAACAGAGGAGAAAAACCTTATAGTGCACTATGGTCATTTAATAAGTCCTTGGCTTAATAAACATACTTCAGACTACTACAAAACTGTTTTATTCTAGAAATGCAGAATCACCTTGTAGTGTCTCAGTGACACTGAAATCCATCATGGCTGGTAGTTGTAAATGTAGCATAAACTTTTGAACACAACTTTTTCAAATTAAGACTAAAATGTGTTGAAGTGATTCCCTTTCATTCTGGTATTTTCAGGACAAACAAACTCAGTATCTGCATATGCGTCTGTGTCTATATCTATCTATCTAGATATTGATATTTGAGACAGTGATGCACTAAATTGCCCAGGTGGCAGGATGTGGACTTGTGATCCTCCTGCCTCAGCTTTGCAAAGTGCCGGGATTTTAGGCATATCCAGCAAACACAAAATTTTAAAGAGAATAAAAAATAAGGAAAAAACAACAAAAATAATACAGAATTTCAAATCAAGATGATAGCAAGTTAACAAAGGTTGTTATACTGCATACTGTTATCATCAGAGTAGTTCTTTAGATTACCAGATATAGGCATGCAAAACTGATCAAACAGTTAAGCAAACCCAAAAGCAAGCACAATTTTTGAAACATATTTTCAATCTGTAGTTGGTCCAATCTGTGAATGCAGAAGCTGTGGCTATAGAGGGCTCATTGAACAATATTTCTAATTGATTCTGCATTTTTCCATGATATCCAGGGGGAAAAAATCCCCTAAATCCACAGGACGTGGGGTTATTCACAGTCTCATTAAACTTAGGTGTTCTGACAAAGCAGACTTTGGAAAACCAGGGATAGCAGCACCTTTTCAACCTCTTTTCTGTGGGGCTCAGGCATCTTGAGGCGAGATGCTTCTACCTGTGTTTGCTGGACGGCTCAGCTCTAAGTGGTGTCCAGCAGGGAGGGCTCCCTCAGTGAAAATGCAATGTCGAAGTGGCGCCCTGCCAAGGCCACTTCCTGTCTAGAAGTCCCCTCTCCTGGAAAACCTGTTTCAATGCATTTGTTCTAATCTTTCTTCTGATCAGGCCAGCAGCCCATTAATCATTCTTGTCATCCCCCTGCAGAACCCAGAGCACTAGATTTCTGTTTTTCTAAAATCATAGGGCCAGAAACTGAACTGGAGCAAGAGGAAATTCTCCACTCTTCCACATACTGGCAGGAGCACTGACTGGAAGAAGCCACCAATTGTGTGCCTTTTCCTCTTTTGGCCAGAGCTGCCCAGAACATTCCATGGAAAGTTTTGGAAGGGAATTCAGGTGGGAAGTGGAGCTGGGGAGGTTGGAGAGGAACTCAACACATGAAGCCACCAGCTGAGGAGGACATGAGAAATGGGTGTGGATAAACAAATGGCAAGATGATGAATATGGATTAACAAATGCCTTATTATCACTGCTCTGGCAAATTCAGACAGCAAAGAAGGTATATTCAAGGTAAATCTGCAGGCAGCATAGGTCTTTTGTGCTCTGAAGTGATAAAGAAATAAAATAGGCCAAACACAGTGTTCCTCAGTAGCAAAGAAAAAGCCAGTGATTCTATAAAAAAGATGGGAATGATCCTGAGTCCACTCACATCTTAAGCTCCCATGTTTTTTATAAGTCTGAGTCTGTGCAGTCAGAGAGAGCACTGAGGATATACTGACAACAGAAGACAGAACCATGTAACGTGAAGAAATCAGACTTAACTTGGACCATATCCTGTATCCACTCTGAGGCCACTCATCCACCATATGAACGCTACAGTGCTGTCTGCACAGCACAGCAACAAATGGCCAAGTGTACAGGATTTACCATTGAAGACTTGGTTTCTCCTCCCATGTTTAACACTAACAATCTGATGAAGAACAAGTCCCTTTATAAATGTGGGAGACTATCCAAAGATGCAAAGTGAAGGCTCTTTGCCAACTCAGAAGTCCCTCCAAGATTCTCGCACATTCCCAGAAGGCTTTGAGATCTCTTGCAGCTCTTTGATTCTATTATTTGATTATGCTTATCAGAGAAAATAGTGCATTTCATACACAGGAGCATTTCTTCAGGGTGTCCCTGAGTCAAACTGTAATGGGTAACAATCATGTCCCAAGTGGCCCTATATGAATAAATGGTTTAATATCAAAGTTTGTGAATGATTTACTTAAAACCTAAATTATAACCATTTAGTCACGGGATTTTTTTAGCTACCATTTTTCAAAAATTACTGGCAGCCATAGTACAGAAGAAGAGAAATATAGTCAATGGAGAGACAATGAATTTGGCTGGATAATAGCTATAGGGAACTCTTAAAATATGTAGAACATTGGCTCTTTTAAGCTCACCAAGAAATGGTACATGAGTGGGATGTGGGTAAATGAAAGGATTTTTGTGGGTAAATTTGACCTAATTATAATCTTAGAAAGACAAACCCCATATAATCCCTATGCCATAATGTATTTTAGAAAGAAGAAAGGATACAAATAAGCAGCAAATAATTTGAACATAAAAAGGAAGCTTACCACGAATGCTACTGCACTTCTTAGTGTTGACTCCCACTGGAAGCAGCTTTTAAGGAACTGAACTGTATTCCATATTGCCACAGTGAGTCTTTTCACACGGTCTACATCTCTTGATAAGATCTGATAAAAATAATAGAAAACAAGGAACTACATCTATGTACTGTAAATAGTACCTTCAGGTCTTATTACCTGATCATTTAAATTATATTCTGTAGAGGTACTAATTCAAAAAATAATTAGTAGAAAGTAAATGACCTGATACTTCTAAAATGTTTCTCAAAATTATTAGCATCCATAGAGGAAAAGCAAATCCAGTGCATATTTCAGCTCATTTCATGAAGAACAGCCCGTTGCAATAATGTTCAGCACAAATCAAGCTGGTAAAAGCTCTAACAATTAGGCATTTGATATAGGTAGGAGTGTGAGTGTGTGAGTGTGACAGACAGACAGAGACAGAGAGAAACACAGAGGAAGAGCTAAAAAGAAAGAGAGACAGAATGGGAATGAGTGTTGACATTTCATATGGGAGCAATTTGATCGATTAATCATGGAAATATAGTGTTATGGAGAGTGATGATGAACCTTTTAGAGGTTGAGTGCCCAAACTATAACCCAAACTCACTTATTTACTGCAAAGTGCCAACACTGCAATTAAACACGAATACTGAGGTTTTGTATTTAGAAAAATCAACTGCTATCCAAAGTTTGGCTGCTGGGATGAACTGGCTCTTGAGCCGACAGAGAGGGTGCTGCACGCCTGCTATGGCTCACGTGCCAAGGGATCACCAACACTGATTATACCTCTGAGTAAACCCAAAGTGTATAAGAAGGTGTTATGGTTTGTGTGTGGATGTCCCCCCAGAGCCTCATGCATTCATGCAGTGGGCTTCTAAAGTTTATGATTGATTCATGGTCCAGTGTAGGAATTATGGATGTGAGTGCTACACCTACCCTGGGGCAGGTGGTTTGCCTACAATATAAGGGAGGGAAAGAGGCTGCTTGCCACTCTTCTCCCCTTGTGCTCTTGTTGCTTTTGCTGTTTTCTGCCACCATGAGCTGTTGCCCTCTGCCACCATGAACTGTTGCCCTCTGCCACGTGCCACTCTGCCTTGGAGCCAGCTGATTACAGACTGAAACTGCCACAAAATGTAAGCTAAATAAATCTTTCCTTCCTTAATTTTGGGCATTGGGTATTTTGTCTCAGCAATGAGAGAAAAGTAACTAAGACAGAAAGGAATCAAATTCTCCTAATTCCTACCTGTGAAAGCTTGGGGAAGCGTCTTAACCATTCTCACAAAATACTGATAGTAGGTCTAACCTTACAAGTGGTTGTGAAATATAAGGACCTTAGAAAAATGCCTGTGATATATCAGATGCTTTTAAGAATATGTATCATAAGCAAAAGTTTCAACTTGATGAACACTTGGGGAAAGTAAGTGTGAGAGGCCTGTGGAGAGGGTGTTGCCCCATCCCAGATTTCAACCCACAACCCCTCAGTCCTCTCTGTGCCCAAAGCCAGCTCTCCTGGAGGTCTTGTTTTGCTAAGGAAATTTTTATTTCTCTCATTTGAAAGTAAATTCCTTTCAATTTGTTTGCAATGTAGTTACCCCATCTACCCCAACCCAGGTATTAACTTCCAAGTAAACAGAGCAAAAAGCAGCAATAATAAGACCTTTGCTCATATTACACAAAATAAATATTACACTCAATGCTAGGGTAGGCAAAAAAAAAAAAAAAACATGCAGATGCTTCCTTTTAGAAGAATCTGGAGGCCTTTTCCAAGTACGTCCAGAAGTTCATGGGAAACAAAAGGATGATAAGGCGCCTTTATATTTAACTGCTTTGTGTCATCCACAGCTGTCTACCCACAGGAAGAGGGGGAAGTAATAAATGCCTGAAAGGGGGAACACTTTGTTCTTTGCTACACTCTGAAGAAGGACAATGGATATGGGCTAAAATCCTGAGCTGTGTCTAAAGAGACAGGGAGAGACTCTGAACAACAACCAGAGAAAAGGTAATACAATAACAATGATAATTATAAGAATAATAGTGAGACTTCCCCTACTAGCCCCTGTTCTTCATGTAGGGTTGCACTGATAGGAGAATAATTTAGGGCAATAAACAAAGAGAGCAGGAGACAGTTAAGTCAAGAGGAGATAGCATGCTTACACACTCCAAATTTGGACAACACAAAAATGGTAAAAGCAGTCAGAGGAGAACTGAAGGCCAGGAATCTCCAAAGATGTGCTGGTTGAATGCCTGACCTACTCAACAGGCAGAGTAATTTTGAGGTTTTAAAACCCAGAGGTGAACAAGGGTGTGAGGAAGGACATTCAGGAAGACATGGATATTTGATGCTAGGAACTGTTCAGGGAATGATCTATGAGAAAGCTGAAGGGTGGACACTTTCTGCTTCATCCCATACATAGGCTGTAAGTTTTCTGCCTCTCCTTGAGCTGCCTAAAGCCCTTGTGTCTTGGTTACTTTTCTCTCATGGCTGGACAACATATCTGACGTCCAAAATAAAGAGAGAAAGGTTTATTTAGTTCACTATTCTTGGAGGTTTCAGTCCATACTCGGGTGGCTCCAAGGCAGAGTGGCACATGGCAGAGGGCAAATGTTCATGATGGCGGAAAACAGCAAAGGCAACAAGAGTAAAAAGGGAGGAATGGTGGCAAGCAGCCTCTTCCTCTCCCTTCCATATGCAAACTATCCACCCCAGGGCAGGTGTGGCACTCACACCCATAATCCCAGCACTGGATCACTGATCAATCAGAAATTCTAAAAGCCTGCCCCATGACTGCATGAGGTTTTGCAGGTACATCCAGATGCACACCATAACACCTTGTTTGGGGAAAGAAAGGCAAACAACTAGAAAGAAATGGAGAGGAAAAGAGAGTGGGAGAGAAGCACACAAGTCATGACAAAGAAGCCCTTGGGTACCGCACGCTCAGTGTACTCACATGCCATTTTGATACTATCTGGACTTACCTTTTTGGACAGCTTGCGGTTATCTTCAACAAAGCGCTTTTCTCTAGGAGTAAAGGTCCTAATACTGGCCTTGACCTAGAAAGATACCATTGTTTAAAATAGCAGTACTCATGTGGACTTTATTTTGCTTCTTAGTAACTGGAAAGAGCAGAGACAACAACACCTCAGGCCCTCAGGTCAAGGCAGGAAGCAGAGGTGATATTTGAATGCCCTCAGCTCTATGGTGTTTGAGGGATCTCATTCCATGAGAGGCCCTAGGTCTCAGACCTCAGCTAGGAGAATATTGTCACTACTTAGCTAACTCCACATGTGTGTATTTTATTTTTTTTTCACGTGTGTGTATTTTAAACCACTGCAGAGAATGAGGTGCACAACTTCTTAAACCAGTGTCTCTAAAAGCTAAAACCTCTTTCTAGTGTCTTTCTGAAGCAGGACTTTATCAATGATATCCGGCATGTGAAGAGTAGTTTTCAACTGGTGAAAAGCAATACCTCCCCAGGGAATCTCATTTCCTTTCAATGAGATGGAAGTAGATGAGCCATGGTAGCCCCATTTTACAGGAAATAAACTGAGATTCATAGTGATTTTGTGACTCTTACAAACCACCAGAGGAAGGAAAGAATAAAATTTAAGTCACTTCTTTTACGTAACATAAACAACTAAAAATAATCACTTAACCAGAATACTTTTAATTTAAGGATTGACTTTCCATCCCCTTAAACTTAGGTTTTCTCTGAGTATAATAATCTCTCAGTATAATCTATACACAAGGTGGCAGGAGACAAGGGGTCATCTATCTTGTAACCTGCACATATGATTTCCTTAAAGGGAAATGGAGAAAAAGGGAAGAAAATCAAAGAAACATACTCTTATTCTATACACTGTGCTCAAAGTTCTAGCACTACTGAAATGTACAAATATATACATATAATATATATATTATATGTTACATCAGACTCAAATATATATATATGAATAGATTTTATGGCATAAACTTTACACAGAATTATTTGAATATATATCATAAATTGTATTATGAAGAATACATCTACATTTTTATAAATTTCTATATGTTGATTTGTTATATAAAAACTATTTTCCCTTTTGTTATTTTTTTCTTTACATTTGGATCTATTATAATTTAAACACTACCAATTTGCTGACTCAACAGGGTTAATACAACTTGCAAGCTCAAGACAGGTTTAATGGTGAAGGTTTTTTTAAATATTCTCTTTTCTCTAGCGGCAACATTTCTGAAATACTGTACACTACTTTCCATCTCAGAAGGCCGTTTATTTTAGGTATATCAAAGCTGGGAGGTATGGACCAAGGAGACTTACCGGATTATATATGAGATCCATCTCTAAGTAGATAACTCCTTTAAAGGCTTGTTCTAAATCTTTGTTCTTTAACACATAACAATTTGGTTCTCCATCTCTAATCTGTTAAAATAAGAGATGATATATTTATTGGTGGAAACTTTCTGTGTAGTTTAAATGGAGTAGGCAAAACTAACTTTGGCAAAGTTGAGAATGTAGCATGGTTAGCAGATGAAATGAATATTAAACAGGTATTAAACCTATCACAAATCAGTTTTAACTACAGAATGCTATCATAATTGATTAGAAGCTAAAGTAATATTTACCAGCTCAATATTGGTATAGTAATAGAAAATTATTTGTACAAATCATGAATGGACTACATTTCCCTTTAAAAAAAAATCCAGCAGTTACATGTTTTCATATATTCAAAAATAACGAATATTCTACAAAATCCTGGGCCAAAATTCCTCATGACTGTCAAGGTCATGGGAAAGAATAAAGACTAATAATTCATCATAAATCAGAAGAGATTAGAAAGATAAGATGACTAAGTACTGTTTGGTATCTTTAATTGTATCCCAGAACAGAAAAAGGATATTAGGACACAATCTGGTGAAACCCAAATAAAAATCAGAGCTTAATTATTAATAATGCAGCCATGCCATTTGTTTTACATTTTGACAAACATATCATGGTAACTGAAGATGCTAACATTAGAGAAAACAGGGTAAAAGCTGTATAAGAACACACTCATCTGCAATTCCTTAGTTAATCTGAAAACATTCGCAAAAAGCTTATTAAATGTTTTAAAGACATTAATACAGAAGCTGATTTTTATAAAATGATCTCTATTTTACTGACTAGAAAATAATGCAAGTTAAATAAATGAAATCAGGCTAAAGTTGAGGTCAAAATCCAAAAACAAGTCCATATACACAAGGTATCAATAAATCTTCAAACAGGTTTATCAGTCTAAACTCTAAGCTACCTGCAGACCCGTGCATATAAGACAGCTCCTGTTTCATTTTAGAAACTATGAAAGGCACGAAGATTCCCATGAAAGGCATGTTAATTAGTTGGATTTCATCACACTTTTCAGAATGGACAGCAGGCAGGCTTTTATTATACACAGTAGTGGTATATATGCGCTGACTACACTTCTGGTTTTTAAGAACACACTGGTTAAGGCTATAAGGGCCTCGGCAAAATTGAAGATTATCAAACACTCTGTTTTGGAATTGAAATGATCAACAATTTGCTCAGTTTAGGAGATTCAACAACATGGAAATGGAGCCGTATTTTAAATAACTATTGCTGTCACTACAAGCATTCACACGAGTGTTCTTATAAACAGTGGTGGAAATGAGTTGACCAAGTCACAGGGGAAAACAGCAATTCCACTTTACAAGGGAGAGGTCATCTTCCTTCCCAAAGTCACCCCACCTTTCTCAGATTGAATAGCTTTTATGCAATATGATGGTTTTCCTGGCCATGGGCTAAGAGGAAGGGGGTGCCCCATAAAGACCCAGCTTCCTTCCTCAACGGTGTCCAAACAGGATTCAGAGCTTCTGCTGGGAAACACAGTCTCACTTAATAAATGGTGGGTGTTAAAGTTGAAAGAGATAAATACAAAAATAGCATGACAGTTTGCCAAGCTGCATTTGATCTAATTTAGCTTTGCTGCAGTCCGCAATCATTACACGGTATTCTTAAATTTTCCATTATTTCCTAAGGGTTAGGGAAGGTCAAAAGAACAGGAGGTATCAGAATAAAAAAGAAATATTTTATAGCAAAAATGAGGTTTGTTTTGTTTAGTTTTTTTTTTGTCTTTTAATTTGGTAAATGACCATTTCCTGTTACTCAATGTCCCTAGAATTGTGTCAGCAAAACCCAGAATCCATCTAGGGACATTAAAGCCATCATCAAAGCTAGATATAATTAAAGCTACTCATTGAACACTGCAATAGAAAGTCAATTTAAATCATACAAATTCAACAAGTTTAAAAATTATCAAAGAAACTAACGTCCTCCCAAACTTCCATAAATACCACAATTCTTTCCCCTGTATAGAAATTCAGCAGGAATGGGGCATGCATCTTTTAAAAGTTTCACCAAGAATCTATAATCATAAAAATAGTGTTACAAAAGGATTTAAGACTTTTGGCCAAAGTGACACTCTATAGATATTTTGTAACTTCAGTTTTTATCTACTGATATGGTTTTATATTAGCATATAGATCTAATTATTTTTTATTTTAAAGAGAATAATAACAAAAGAACAATAGCAAAATACCAACAAGATACACAAAAACAAAACAAAGCAAAAACAATAAAAATGATACAGAGTTTCAGAACGAAATGATAGGAATTAACAGGGGTTGTTATATTACATACTGTTATCTTCAATGAAGCTGCTCAGATTACCAGATGTAAGAATGCAAGATTGATAATCTGACTAATTTTTAAACTGCTATGTAGTGTTCAAAGTGCAAATAAATTCCAATTTATTAATGAATATTTGTTGATTTAACTTTTCAATCTGTTTGGTGCAAAGAATATATTTTTTAGATTATAAAGGATAGATGGAAGAGCAAATACACTAGTTTGGATTTGAAACATATTTGCATTAAGAACAAGTGAATGGATTTAAATATTTAGTGTATTAAATACAATGCTGAAAGGCTAACAGAGGAGACTATGCTTATAGAATATCCTTATCTCCCACTGTATTTATGAAACTGAACTTCCAACCCAAGAATATAGGTTAAAACATTCTCTTACATCCCAATTTGCCAAGCCCCTACATAGTCATTATAATAGGAAGTAAAAACTAACATATAGATTTTAGTCAAAAATTATAGTCAAAAGATTTAGTCAAAGATTATAGTCAAAAGCTGAGGTCATTATTTATACTTAGAACTCTGAAGATAATTTCTAACACTTTATCATTTAAAAGTATCTATTAAACAGGGTGATTATGTATACTCAAAAGAAAATTTAAAGGAGAAAATCTCTATATTTTATCTTTGTATATGAGATAGCACTTCAACTAATTTTGATGTCCCTGCCATCAAAGGCATAAAGGAGTGAAATAGATTTGAATTTATGACAAAAGGAGTACTCTGATACATACAGAGGGCCTTTCTGGGCTGATAGAGGAGCACTTCATTTTACTCATTTTATTTTACTGGTCTTGAAAGAAAAAAACTAGGTAATAGCTTTAACATCAATTTTGCAAGCTAAACTCTTAAAATTGACCTATCATCTACGGTTTTATATTCACCTTTTCATAGGCAAAGAATGTATGACAGTAGGCAATAACTTGAGGAAAGTATCTCCACCAGACAATGACGTAGATATGATCTAATTATGAACAGGAACTTCCATAACCAGGAAAATGGGCATTTTCACGTCCCTTAGATTATTTTCAGATACAATATAAACATCATAAACTTTTATCACAAGCATGCTAAGAGCTAATTCCCGGCCACGTTATTTTGTGTATGAGAGACTACAGGAAGTTTGTGTCAGAGTAAAGATTTAGGATTTTGGAGTCAAAGGAAAAGTTACCAAGAAAGCAGTCTGGTTTAAAATATTTAATCTAATCCACGATCATACTTAAACTAACCAACTTTTTTTTCTACATGAAAGAATATTAAATTTCCTTAAGTGAGCTGTAATTATAGAAAATATAGAAGGCTCTAAAAGTTGGTTGACTGAAGAGCTACCATTATTATGTCTGACTAAACAAATCTCTAGTTCAATGCCACACCAAATGATTCAATAGCAATGCTGAGCAGAATCTATAAGAAGGAATAAATGGAAGAAATGATATACACTGATGATAAAAATCAAAATGAAAGAGTCACATTGACTCCTTCACTTTTGATCTTTAAATTAGAAAATGTAGATGTGGATATAGACTAGCATTATCCGATTTGAGCTTTTTATTTCTTTGGGGAAAGGCAAAACACGTCAGTGTGATAAGGTGACACATCAGTTGGTCTCAAGTGATGCTCATGCAAAGTGATTTTCCAACAAAATGCCATGAGGACAGAAACATGGCCTAGCAGAGGTCAACAAATGTGCTTTATTTAGTAGCAACTCACACTGACCCCACTTGGAATCAGGCCTGGTTCTGACGACACGAGTTATAAACAACGTGAGAGATTCAAATGTCTGCTTGCACAGATACCAACCAGTAGATGCAGCCCCAGGTCATCCCCTCAAGCTCGCCTGACTCATGTATTTCACCTCCTTTCTCTTCCCAAGCAATCTCTCCACTCACTGCCCCCAAACCAAAACCACCTCTGAAGCTGGGAAATGGCCCAGAACCTTGACATGCTAGTTCTTATCAATCTACTCACCCTAAAATATGTTATTCTACAAAAGCAATATACGTTAATTCTAGAAATTGGATAAAATTTACCAAGTGAAATTTAACAAGAAAAATATAACAGTAATAATATTGAATCAATAAAAATTTAACAAATAAACACACATTTGTATTTTTCAATGTACATTTTTGTCTCTTATGAAATTAGAATTGTTAGGTGATATTTGGAATCCCAGAGGCAGATGAGCTGAGTTTAAATTCCAACTCTGCCTCAGACTTGATGGGAAACTAGATAAGTTACATAATCCCTCTGTTCTTTGTTTCCTGGTCTGTACAATGTGAATAAAAATAGTACAGATTTAGGAAGTGACTGTGAAATAATTCTGCAAAAGGCAACATTGTAACACTAAGGGGGGCATAGTAATTACATGTTAAACATTATCTAGATGCTGTAGTCTTCATTTACATCCTACTAACTTATCTTTCAAGTTTAACAGTGTATAGAAAGCATTATATTCCCCCCACCTAATCAATTTTCTTATATAATTCAGAATGGTTTTTCACTTTCTGAATATTCTATAATGAACTTGACTAATCTTGTTGCAACTCATTAAGATCATTTTCAATTGGTAACAATTGTAAACAGCATGATGAATTTATTCCTAGATATCTTTATGCACCCCAAGATACATGTCTTAAGATAAATGCCTAGAAATAGAGTTGCTTAGTCATGGGATATGGCTATGTTAAACCTTACGGCAGCACTGCCAATCTGCCTTTTGGA